GGGCACGAACTTTTTTTATGATAGATATAATTCATCAAGGTCTGCAAGATATGCAAAGTCTCGACCCAAAAGTGAATGAGCACCTGGAAACGTTTCCTTGTTAGTTACAAGCAGAAAACTAAAATGGTGAATGCATACTTCGCAGAATGACTTTCAAACATGTCTAATATGACTGTTTTCAGTGGTAGCCTAAAGCAATATTGCGACTAACACATTTTATTTTAGTGTGTGGTTTATCTATATTAAAATCTTTCGAAAATACTTACTGAAAAATTTAAGCATACAATTCTTGAAAAGCCATTTGCACCAGCCACCTTTCTTCACTTTTCGATCACCTAGAAAAAAAGCAAAGCGTCTTGATTACATTACAATCCGTTGTACTTATTCAACCATAAAAGCAAACTCAGTATTTTATTTACAATTCGAGTAATATACATAGCCAAGAAGTAACTTTTTCTTCGTAGATACGAGTAAATTCCCAGACAGACAAAAAAAACACGGATTGAAATCCTATACTATTTTCTAGCGTTTTCAGATACTAATCAAGGTTCGCGAATCTCATCCAAAATAATTCGAAAAACCACAATGTCGAACCGGGTACTTCTTACAAAGCGCAAAAATTTTTGACACTTCATATATATAAGAAATTCTTTGCAATTTTGGTATCTACTTATTGTAAATGTTTCTTACATTAAATCGAGAACCACGAGTAGAATCTAACAATTAACGGTAGCACTTTTACTTTGTTTTTACTTTCTGAAAGGAAAGAAAAGAAAAGTGAAGTTGAAAAACTTTCTTTTTTCTTTTCGTTTTCGAAAAGAGAGAAGTAGATCTTCTATGCTCCTTTACCGAGAAAATAGTCAAATAAGTCAAAAAAAACAGAAAGTCGAAAGAAACTAAAGGAAAGTAGAAGAAAGTCAACAGAAAGGACAAGAGAGTTGATTTATTCCTTTATTTATTTTGACAAAAAATGATATATTCGAAATCAGTATTAAATTCTGTATCTAATGAACTGTCATTCCATAGAACAAAAAAAATTGCTTTTATCGGATGATTCCAACATTCCCTACAGGTTGCACACTAACAAATAAAAAAAAGTTACTTTCGACAAACGAAGACTATCTAGTTCCACTCGAAATTTAATCTTAATTCCAAATATACCATTTTTTTCAAAAACAAAACAAATATATCAACTTTCTTCTCTTGTGTTTCGACTTTCTTTTTTTTTGACTTCTTCAAATTCTTTTTTCTCATTAGAACAGCATACAACATCTAGTTCACTCTTTTCGAAAAAGAAAATAAAAAAAAATTTTCAACTTTACTTTTCTTTAGGAAAGAACGTGAAAGTGCCACTCCTATTAAAAACATTCAAATTTTTATGTGTCTACACGTCTATTTTCTGTGCACGTTTCTAACTTCTAATTGAACGTCACGATTACTATCCTGAAATGCTCATGTTTCTTATGTGTTTGCACGTGTGACTTTTCTTTTCTCTCTATTTTCATATGTTTTTTAAATGCTTTTTCCATGATTTTTTTTTGTTTTTGTCTACGTAATTTATTTTTCATAATAACAGTTCATACAGAGGTTTCTTGGTTATTTATATAACAATCTGTGTGCCGAGATTAAATTTCTTTCGACCATATCTAAAGAATATTTTTAGATCATTTTCCACAAAAAATTCAAGGAAAATGACTTTTGATAATAAGTGGAAGTGAATATATTTATATATCTAACTACCTAGCTACAAATCGAATAATAGTTTTAAAAATAAAAATGTTGAAACGAAAAAAAGACACATTCTCCAAAGAGGAAATAGCTAAAATCAAATTTTCTTGACATAAAATTGATTAAAAATCCGAAAAATCAGCTGTTTCGTTCTTGTAAAAATGGCATCAAATTTGAACTTTTGCGATTAACACGCACGTCAGACAAAATAAGCCTGAAAAAGTTTAGCAAACAAACAAACTTTTTGAACATTTGCACATTCAAATATATACGAAGAATAATACTGTCCGAATTCGTATTGAAAACTTGGATATCCTGTTGTTTATACAACCATTTTGTTTATAACGTGCTCAAACACTGGAAAAAGAACGATTTTTAGTGATCAAACAGTTTTTCATTTTTTTTTAAACGAGTTTGCTTAGACACAGTTGAATTTTAAAATACTTTTAAGAATATGTTAGAAATAGGACATGCACTATTTTGACGCGAATAAAAAAAACAAGACATCTCAATCTATCGATTTCATTACAGAACTCTAGTTAAATTTTAAAATATTTTTGATGAACATTTTAAATGAAAAATAAACTGTTAGAATGGAAACGGACAAACAAAATTTTCAATTCATCTATCCAACCAGTCATTCGATAAGCATTTCGATGTGTCGATTTTATATTTCGAAGGACGTCGAAATCTTATATAGAAGACTTAGAGTGGCACTTTCTGATTGATCGATGGTTCAACGATGAGTTCTATCTGTCCATATCTTTCGACTATTCGAATGATTATTTTCGAGAGAATCAATTTACCTTCACCTGTACCAAGATCAATAATTACACGATATTTTGGTTCTTCTGCATCATCGAATTTCCAGAGAGCGTTCGCCTTGAAACCGACAATGATACAACCTTTCGCAACGTTGACCAAACCTACAGAAGCACTGGCAGGAAGACCAAGTTCAATTTTTAGCTCATAAAGCATTTGTCCAAAACGAATATCTCTGTTCAAAAGTACTCGTCGTTCTACATTGCGATATTCGAATGCAACTATTTTGTATTCAGTATCTTCTGTCTCTAAATATGTAGAAAGGAGAATCAATTAGAAAGAAATATCGAGAAATAAACAAAGAAAATTCACAAACAAAGTATCAAAAGATAAAAATGACATAGTTCCTACTGCGCACGCATTAGTCATAAAAATTATCAAAAACTCAAGCATTTTAATGGTGCTTCAATGTAATAAGAGCAGGTTGATTCAGGAAGGATATTTTCAAGAGAGAATAGGAGAATGGATTTGAAATTCACCGAATTATAAAGAAAGATGAACACATGATGCTACCAATGAAGTCGCACAAAATGTCGGTTAACTCCGATGTGAAAAGGCGAAAAATAGAAATAGGAGCGCAAGAATATGGGGCATATCTACATGAAGGACATTTGATAAGGAGTGGGAGCGGAGAGTCTGACGTGGTCTAACGTCCGAAAAAGCAGCTTTAGAATTTTTACTCTATTGCCTTATAATTCTGACTGAACATGTCTACTTTATAACTGGAAACTTATCGAAGTGCACTTCCTTTATTTAATCGGACAACTTGGTAGATTGTTGCTACCGTTGTTTAATGATTGGATATTAATTTTGTTTATTTCAGTGCTATCATCATATTTTTTTGCAGCAAGAACAAATATCTCATTCAACGCAGTCCATTTGATTAATTCAAAATTATGAAGGATGTTTTGCTAGCAAAATTTCTTGAAAAATGAAAATTGTCACAATCTGTACCATAAACTATAATGTTATCCTTTATTTTTTCGTCTTTTTCTCTTTCTCTGCTATGGAGAGAAATGTTTTTCTATCATTACCTATTATTTAATAGTAATTTTAACTGAAGTTTCTTACGAAATATTGAAACCAATGATTAAATCGAATTACGTCATTGCATTTTTTACTCACAATGGAAGGGTGTGTATTGTATGTTAGAGAAATTGAACATATTAGGGTCAAAATAAAGCTAATCGATGTTCATCTATCGAAGAATTATCAAAACTCTTTTGAAATTAGAATTCGGCAAAGTTTGAAATGCAAGATAGAATCAAGTAAAAATAACTTTCAATGATAAATCAAATCGAAAAGACATATTCTCCAAAGACTGGTTTGTTTATTTTCACATCCAAGTCTCTTCGAATTACCTTTATTTCGTACAAGATTACTATTTGTGTTTCCTTGTACAATATTTGTTTGTTCATAAAATTCTTGATAATTATTAATATCACTAGCCAGAACCCCTGCATACTGCATGGCAGTACTTTTTTCTTTAACGTACGATCTCAAAACTTTAACCTTTCACTCGGTAACAGACACAAACACATAACATTATGTACATAGAAGTCCTACGACGTGATATCTCTATACTACCAATAGCCCATGTCGCCTTACGGCCTTATAGGCTTATCTCTTTATTGCCTAAGCTCGTTATAGCCTTAATCCCTTACAGCTTTACTCCCTTGTAGCGTTCCTCCTTATAGTCCTCTCCCCTTATAGCCTTCTCTCCCTTTAACCTCATTCCTTATAACCTGACCGCCTTGTTGCCTTACTCCCCTATAACCTTACCCCTTATAGCGTTTTCCCTTTATAGTCTTACCCCTTACAGGCTTATCCGTTATAGCCCTACCTCCTTATAGTTCTATCTCTTTCACCTTGCCCCCTTATAGCCTTACCCACTTGACAGGCTTACCCTTTTATAGCCTGATCCCTTATGGTGTTCCCCCTTATAGCCTGGCCCCTTATTGTCTTACTGTCTGATAACCTTATTCCCATATACAGATGATAAATTTTATCATCTGTCTTTTCTTTTAATTTTTCATTAATTCTCTTTACAGGTTCAAGAACAGTTTGGTCATCATGTTGTTTATCAGTATCAATTTCCATTGCAGATTTTACATCAATACCTTGTGAACCTTGTTCATCAGATTTTGGATCAATATCATTACCATCGTACTCAACATTTTGTTGATGATATGTCTTGGATCGCTTATTACCAGCTGATATTACCAAGCATTTTCTTGCTAACCATGACGAATAAAATATTGAACCTGATGATGTTGATGGACATTGACGATGTCTTGATGATATAGTATCATAACCACGACCATAATCTTCCAAAAAGACAGCAGAACATTCGAAGTTATTATAATTATCAGCACTCATTATCTGAAGAAAACGAAAAATTTAAATAAACAAAATTCGACACGAATATTTTTTATTCGATATCTCAAAACAAAATAATAACTAACTATTTCTTCTTCATATTTCATATGTCACTCGTATAAAGTTCAAAAATATGTGCATGAAAATGAAACAAATAAAAAATCATTTTGCTTTTTGAATATGTATTAATCCAATATCATTAGAATTCAAAAAAAGAAAAAAAAGAAAAAGAATTTCTTGACAATTATATTACAGAATAAGAAAAAGAAAAAGTACATCAAGAAAAAAAAATTGAACAAGATGTAATTATATCAATTATATATATATATATACATACAGGAATATAAGAAGAAAAATGAATGCCAAAATGTACACACATCAAGTTTTTATTCTAAAACATAGTAACTAGCAGCGTCAAAAATTGTAAAGTATTTATATAGACAAATCTGTCTGATATTTGTTCTCGAAAGATCATTCGGTATGATAAACCTGAGAAAAATTAGTGCATCAACGAAACTATTGATAGAACATATATATATATAACTAACTAACAAATAAAGCCAATTGCCCAAAATCAATAAAATCAAATTTATTTATTTTTTGTGTCTTTCTAAATGTTTTCATATTTACACGCTTTCATTGTTCAAATATGTTGATTTTTTGTTCGACGATAACGATATGCCATTTTTCATCATATTTATCTTTTTTGATCTTCATCTTGCTTTTTCATATTTGTTTATCTAAACGAATTGACATTCTAAAAAACAAAAACAAAAAAGACATTCTGAAACATTTATTGAGAAGCTAATTTCTTACTTGTTTTCTTTTTGTTTCTTTTAATTCAGCTTCTTTATCTATAACTTTTTGAATAAATGATTCTTTAAGTTGATGTTGATGTTGTTCAAGTTGGTGTTGAAGTTCATTATGTTTTATATCAAGTATATCACTAAATTGACATATCTTCTTCATCAACATTATCGACAAAACCAAGTTCAGCAAGATGATTACATCGAAACAATTGATAGTATTTTGAATATGTTGTTCCTATTAATTCAAGTATTATTTCTTCAATAAGATCATTATGTATTTTTTTGACACCAGTTATATTAAGTTCATTCAGAATGTATCGTTTAAAATATTGTAATTCACATTTTTATATTATATTAGATTTCGCTATAATTGGTATTATATTAACTTTACTATCGAAATGTTTCATTATAACTAAATCAAACGTTTTTAATGAATAATCTGTTAGATGAATAAAATATAAATAAAATATGAATAAATGTATCATGATAATTCAATAAATTTCTTTTGATTTTAAGTTCTTCATTTAAACATGATTGAAATTGTGTATCAATAAAATTTCCAATAATTTTAAATGAATTATCGTTATTTATTTGATCATCAAAACTAGCTCTTTCAACAACAGTTAATTTTAAACAAATTTCACATTCCAAATAAATCATAAGTATTTCCATGTAAAAATACAAACATGGAACATCAAGTGTTGATGATGTGATTCTAATCTTGTATTAAATAAAATATCAAATAATGAAGAATTGCTACATGTTGTTTCATCAACACAAAGTTTATTAAAAACAAAACCATCTGATATAGCTTTATCCATTATTTGATTTGATAAATTATTAATGTTCCATTCTTCATTTAGTTCACATGAATGAATTGATGGAGTCTACATAAAAAAAAAAGACAATTAAATAAAATTATAAATGAGAATGATTGAATTTTATATATTTTCAGATTTTAACATGAAAGACTTCGAAGGAGAAAATACGTCTTTTATTATTTTCCTTTTAAATTAATATTAAACTTTTCACAAAGACTTTTTTCGTACTACAAGTAGAAGAAAGAACCAGTGAGAAGAAAGAATATTTCAGTTCTTTGTATTTATTATTATAATTACTATTCGATACTATACGACATCTAGAGTCTAGTAAATGCATAAATTGGCATGACTGGCAATTGATCATGTAAAATTTTACTTCTTTTTTTATTGCAATAAAACACATAATGATAGCTTAAGAAAAACATCTTTTCTAAAAAATACTCCATGATCAAATTTGAAATAATAGATTTTCTATTCTTTGGATTATTTTTGATAAAAACAATTAATTTCAAATCGATTATCACACAAAAAAAAATATATATGCATAACATAATAATTAAGGAATGAAAAACAAAAACATTGTTTTTAATTTTATCCTAGATTACTGTTGATGAGATCTGTGAATTTTCAAGCTATTAGTGTAACTAGAGAAAAACTAGAGATCTCAGCCTCCTAGTCATGCCTTTAAGTGGAGTAAAAACCTTCTGAAAGCGTTTCTAGAGAAGACTCAAGCGCCGTTCTAAGCAAAACTTAGCTACTGGTGTTGGGAGATGAGGAAGTTCTCTGTAGTTTTAGTTGTATCCTCTCGGAACAACTTTTCTCAATTTTTATTTCCCCTATCCCTAATGCTTTTAGAAATTCTATTAAGATTTCATTTTTCATGTTTAAGAAAAACTATCATTATCAGACACTAACTTTCGTCATACCCATGGTGTAAATTTCTGCGAAAAAAACGCGTTCTGAAAACGCATTTTTCCATAGCTGCAAAACGCGTTAATGCTGACCGGTTTGACGCGTTTCACATCTGCTAAAACAAACGATGTGTAGCGATTGTTTTTGTGAAAGATTTTGCAGCGTTTCTCAAATTGTGGCATCATATATTCTAGATGGAAGGTGTGGGTGGGTGGGTGTGGGTGTGAGTGAGTGTTGGTGTGGGTGTCGGTGTGGGTGTGTGGATGTGGGTGTGGGTGTGGGTGGGTAGGGGTCTTCTCTTGATGTACACCCACACCAACACCCACACCCACGTCCATACCCACACCCACACTCACACACCCACACCCCACACACCCACTCCACACCCACACAGACATCGACACTCTCACCCACCCACAGTCGCACCCACACACCCCACAGCAAACCGTATTCGCATCCACACCCACACCCCACACCGAGACCCTCCAGTGTTACTATGCTTTGATCAATTAATGAAAATGAAGAGTTACAATTTGTCAGTTGATTTGACATTCCTACAAAAGGTAGACCAATCTGTTTCTGTTTTATTTTACTTCTCATCACCAGAAAAAAGAACAAATTAATTTGGTACCTGTTAACATTATCCTACTCGATGTTGATTGTCTTTCATCATTTTATCGAGAATATAATTTCCAATAATAAGATATCGTTTAACTTTCATTGTTATTATATAGCTTTAATATCTTCTCAAGTTTTCGTATAATGATTATGTAAATAAGAGTCAAAACCCATAGTCTGGAAGTTTGGATCCAATTGCTCGATACCTACGCAAAAGATCACATTCACACGCCCATCCACACTTATTCTCACAAGCATTTCTGCGTCGTCGAATTTTTAAGTGGACTTCATATTTTTTTTTGACATCACTATAAGTAACTTTAACCACTTGAAATGTTATTGATGCTTGTAAAAGGACTTCTTCTTCGTCGGGAAAAGCTGAAATTGATGATATATCGACGCCTTCGCGGGCCGTTTCATTGTCAATAATAAATAAAGTATTCCCGAATTGTTCAGCTTTCGATCGATTTTAGCTTGTAGAGGAGAAACATAACCATGAATACCATTGATTATCACCAGCTACATTCATGTAACTTTGTATTTGTGATCGGTCCAAGGTCATACCACGGTAAACTACACCAGAAAAGTTTTTTCTTCAAAACCAAATGGTAGTAAGGTGCTCCATATCAGATAACAGAATGGACCTAGTGTATCTATTGCCATTTTTTCTTTATTTCGTAGTGCGGCGTTGAGTCTTTTGTAGAGAAATGATTCAAACGTGTAAAGTTTAAGAGACATTTTCTGAATTTCTGGTTTTGATTGACTCTTCACACTTCTCAACTTCTCTGCTAACCAGCAAGCTTCAGCAACACAATCAAGCTTTTCGCCTTCCGCTATTATACCTTGTGCCGCTTCTTCAACAATTTCTTGGCCTGAAGGTCCGTACCATGAGTCCCCACCTTGCCATCCTTGCATCCGAAACCAGTCATAAATAAAAGCGTTAACATGCTGCTTTTGCGCGAACGCTGTGTTTATCAATGGTTCAACGACAAGAAACCTTTCACGGACATTGTGTTCCCCTATTCTGTAATTTTAACGCGCTTTATTGGTGTTTGTTGTTTCTTATCAAATTTATTGACTTGTAGCATGCTTTTGAAATCAATAATAGAATGGTCTAATTCGACTATTTCTTGTTTCAAGATAAAAGCATCTTCAAGTATTTCAATCTCAACGTCTGAGTATTTTTTCCATTCTTTAGACTGATTTCTCCAAAGCCAAGCATATCTGGTTGCACTAGCTATCAATGTTCTTGTCGTTGTTGTTTCGTGTTCTTCATCACCTGTCTTATATGGGGAATATACGGTTGCTTTCATCGGCAGTTGCATCGGTTGGCCAGCAATGTTTGTTAATAGTCGTAATTTATGCCTGAGTATTTCTGATAAATATTCAACACAGACAACAGGAAGATCGTTAGCTGCCACTGCCGTTCTTCTTGATTCTGGCAACGGTACAACAAAGAAAAGCATTTGATTTAAGGTACATTTTTCAATATGATCCTTAAAACCACTTCGTTGTACCCCGTTTTCGAGTTGTTCAACTCGGCTATCGCATATTGGACAAGGATAGCAAGTTGCTACTTGAAAATAAATGTTGTTATCATGCAGCGCTATCAAACGTGGTGACTGCCATCCATGAACTCGAACCGTGTAAGAATTTCCATTTAAAAGACTGGGTGTAGCCATGCATAAAGAAACGAGTAGGATATATCTATAGCAAAGTAAAGGAAGATATTAGATAAACCAAATCATAGAGAAGGTTATCTTCAAAAAAAGTCATCATCTGAATCATTTGTAAATACCATCATCAAGCAAACTCTGGTACTAACGTTCAAGATAGAAATTATCTCTAGCAATTCGGGGTGCCACTTTATCTTTACTTTAACGAGTAAAGTAAAGCTGGGTTACTTTACTTTGCCAGTAAAGTAAAGTAAAATGAAGTATCTCTTACTTTACAGAAAAAGTTAGGTGGAGTAATATCAGATAAACTAAAGCATGTAGTTGATGATTATTGGTTTATTCGTTCATTATCACATATTAAGCACATTCTAATACGTCAAAAGTTGCGTCGAAATACGGACAGAGAGCCCCGAATAATGTGAACCTATTTGTAATATCTTGAGAATCAGCATTGAGCCCTCACTATTATTCAAAATTTTATTTTCTACTTTACCACGACCCAATTTTTCACACTTAGGGTTTCCTTCAGGTGTCGAAAAAAAAAAATTTTATCGCTGTCCTATTACAAATCTTTATAATTTAATAGTATCAAGTGAGCTGATTACAAATATTTCATTTGTTGTCAAAAGTGCTTAGGTAATAAGAAATATAGAAAGGATTCTCCTGAAAGCCTTAAAACTAGCTTTTGACCAGAAACTTCATTAAAATATGGCTATATTTCGGCGACAACAGATTCATTTGACACAGAATTCTTTTCTCTACCAACAACTATGAAAACGTGTTGAATATTCAATTCATTCTATTGATAATTGGCAAATACCGCCCCGATTAGGTCTGATTATCTCTCATAATATTTTGTCAGCCTTACCAAAACAGAGTTTCTACAGGTGCTGTGGTCAGATTTCTTTACCAAGAGTGCAACTAAATGTGCTCTTTTTAGTGATAATGTTTTCCACGTGAAAATTCATATCTAGTAAATTACTTTTGCTCACAATCCTATTCTTGAGACCTTGTTTGCCCCCTTTTTGACTAATATTTTATGGTTTTCGAATAGAAAAATCCCATTTGACTCCACAAAAGTGTCATATCTGAACTTAAGGCAGAAAACTGAGTAGGCCTATGCGGACAGAGATGCCCACTGGATTGGGTTGATATGAGTACCTTTTGGATTAGGGCTTCCATTGGTTAGTCCTAATCCAGGCCGGTGGCTTGATGAGACCATTTACAATGGCGGGCAAAAGTAGCCTCCTCCCCCCAAAGTGATATTATATTCCATCATTTCGAACTGATCTTTTGCGGGAATGTCGGCGTCATTGAACCATGATCGCAAACACCACCACGCCTTCAATTGATTGACGTTTGCTGAAGATATCACTTCTACATCGTCATCACCTTATCAAGATGATATCTCGATCATTTTTCGACATTCACTTTCTCGCAACCCGTCATTCGAAAGCTCAGAGATGCAGCTATCAAAACTAAAATTTAGGTGAGAAATAGCGGAGATCCGAAGTTCGCACTGAAAACTTTTACCAACTACAAGATCTTTGTTTTCAGTTTCAAATTGATAACTTGAGCTAGAATTGATCAATGCAACTGAAAATTTCAGCAATGACTTACCATCGACCAACAAGTTTGTGGTAAAATATTCAGAGCCGTAGCTCTAAGCAGAGCTGAGATAGAGCTATTGAAAGAGTTTAGCATGCCACAGCTTGTCTATCAATGAAGCTACGGTATTATGCGGTGAGCTTTGGACCCAAGCAACTAGGTATGCAGGGGGACAACTAGCACCAAACAAACTCAAAAGTTCATTTTAGGAGGACGAAACTGTGAACTAAAAGTTTTAAGAAGGTATTTCTCTTCAATTTCTTCAATCTCTCCCCTGGTAGCGTATCTATGCACGATATACTTCTCTGTTACGAAGTATTTCACCTCAAAACAATTTTGCTGACTTTAGAGAGTTTCTGCTTCATGGAACCAGCATTTTGTACATACCCTCTGAATTATTCTGACGAAAAAAGAATGTTTTCGGAAAGATGAGCGTAAATTCACTAGTATTTGGCAGTTTTACTCGCTTTAAACGCAGTGTCAATCGTTTATTGAAGACATGGAGGGAAAATATAATCTCAGAAACTTTTAATTCGCAGTGTTTCGTCATTCTAAAATGAATTTTTGCTTTTTTGGTGCTAGTTATCGCCTTGCGTATATAGCTGCTTGGGTTCAAAGGTCGCCACACAATACAGTGGCCCGATTTATAGGCAAAGTGTGGTGTGGTGAATTCTTCCAATGACGATATCTCAGCTCTACATAGATCTGCGACTCTGAATATTTTACCACAAATCTGCGGATTGGTGATGAGTCATTGCTACAATGTTCCGCTGCATTGATAGATTTTAGCTCAAATTATCGATTCCAAACTGAAAAAAAGGATTTTCTACTTGGTAGACGTTTTCAGTGAGAACTTCGGATCTCCGCTATTTCACACCCAAAATTTTACTAATGATATCTGCATCTCTGAGGCTTCGAATGACGGGTTGTGCGAAAGTGAATGTCGAAAAATGATCGAAATGTGACCTTCGTAAGGCGATCACGATGTACAAGTGATATCTTCAGCAAACGTCAACCAATTGAGGGCGTGATGGTGTTTGCGATCAGGGTTCAATGAGGCCGGCATTCCCACAAGAGATCCATTCGAAATGATGGAATATAATAGCACTTTAGGGGGGCACCTACTTTTGTCCACAGCTCTATATAATTCCATCTCCGACCTACCTATAAAAAGTTTCAGGTAAATTTGGTTGGTTAGCCAAATAGTCAACCTTGTGCTGATGCATTAAATAATGCATATTTCATAAAAATTAGTTACGAAAATGTT